CATTGCCATGGAGCGATTAACTGCCACTTGTTTAACATTGATGCACATGTCACAGCTTTGGCCTTCTTTTACCTGGGGTGATCACTGCTTCGTGTTCATGCTACAATCAATTTATATTAAATATTTTAGATTCAATACTATTCCTTTACTTTTTGGTTGAATAGTTATTGATGAATTGATGGAAATCATGACGGAGCAACTATAAATAACCTGAATACCAATAAGTTATATTTAATGGCAGTTAGAACTGCGATTGCATTTTTAACATCCATTGTTTGAATATGCATGCGTTTTAGAAGTTACTGAAACTTTTGACTAATTCCAGCAATAGAGTATTAATATAACTTTTTATCAACGACATTTGTATTTTTCTAGAATGAGTTTAAAATTAGAGTAATGGAAAGACATGCACAAGATGAAGTGATAGGCCTATCAGGGTTTAATGAAATTTGGCGGGAACTTTTCATTGTATAGGCCTACATTTGTATGGTGTGCTAATCTAAATTTACAAAGTGGAATAGAATCAAATGATTGTAACAAAACAATATGAAACTATGTAACGAAGTATGAGGGTGTGAAAATAATTCTTACTCAATATGTAGTGATAGACAACCAAACAATGGTTTTACCTCAAAAACCATATTTTTAAACACGGTGTACCGAAAGTTTTATGATTTTTTTTCGATTGCACGACGGCGGTAGGACGTAGAACGTTATGACCTCAGTAAAAGTCATCTGCACATGCGGAAACGTTATGTCACCTCGTCGAGTAGATTCTGGAACGCAATTTGGTCAAATCTACGTACGCAGAGAACGTAGGACGCCAGGTAGGACGGTCACGCATGAGTGATTATGTTCTAGCGTCGCGTCGTCGCACAAATCGAAAGCTCCTTAATAATAGGCCTATGTATTAAGTTCCTTAATAATAGGCCTATGTATTTTCTATTACGATAATATAGAGTTATCATTGTCGATATAGCAGTATATAGTAACATGTTAACCACAATAATTTAAAGGCTATTTAAATAATTTAAAGGCTATTTAATCTAAAGGCTATTTAATTTAAAGGCTATTTAACTACATAACGACATAAAGACATAATCTGAAATCCGCTGATTTTACCTAAAGCTAGGTACATCGTCAAGAATGTATCAGCAATGGAACCTTGCACCTTGCACAGTAACTGCACCCCTTTCATTAACTAAAGTTTAAGCCTGAGTGTAAGTGATTTTCTTTGTAATGTTTAGTTAAGTTATATTTATTATTGTTTATTTGCTTTATACTATGGATATGAAATTCTGAAGAAATGAATTCTGATAAATAAATGAATTACGATGTACGGCGCTATCAAGTCGATATTTAACTACATAACGATATAAAGACATAATCTGAAATTCGCTGATTTTACCTAAAGCTAGGTACATCGTCAAGAATGTATCAGCAATGGAACCTTGCACAGTAACTGCACCCCTTTCATTAACTAAAGTTTAAGCCTGAGTGTAAGTGATTTTCTTTGTAATGTTTAGTTAAGTTATATTTATTATTGTTTATTTGCTTTATACTATGGATATGAAATTCTGAAGAAATGAATTCTGATAAATAAATGAATTACGAAGTACGGCGCTATCAAGTCGATATTTAATACCGTATCGTCAATACGTACCGTATATAATAGCATTATAACCACAACAATTTAAAACTATTTAACAGCATAGCAAGCATAGAGGAGGATGTGAAATAATACTTATTCAATATTGTCCATTACGTTGTTGTGGAACTATCACTAATATCGATGTTGACATTTTAACTACTTCATATAAAATCAGATACTAAAGAAATTACCCATTTTAACATTATGATATATGGCAAATGATATAGGATATATTCACACTTGACTAACCTAAAAGGGAATTGGTGAGATTGAACTTATACCCAGGCATGTGATAATATTATAATATCTTTATACTTAAAGTAAAATTATATTAAACATTATATACTCAAGTATTCGTAAATGACGGCAGTGAACACACATCACATGGTACAGATGAACGAATCACAGTAGTGACGGCTGCTTTCCCATTGGCTGGTAAAACAGATAAGCTGCGGCAGTCAAGAAGTGTTCATTAATTACGTTGTCGCAGTGAAGCCACAAATGCCGGTTCATACATCGTACAGCAGTCAACGACACAACCTCGTAAGACGGGAATATAAATTGGTAAGTACTCAACATAACACATCTGCGCCCGTGCTTACAATTTTGCGGCGCGCAAACTTTAGGCCAATAAGTTGCCAATTAACGTATACAGCGTGTAAACTCACTTAGGTAGGAATATTTGGATAGAATATGTAATTAAATCAATAATTTGCTTTTGTGTCTATAGGCCTATATATTTGTGTTGTTTGTGTGATTTGTAATTATAATTCAAAGATAAAATGGTTTGTTTATTCAAAGGTAAAATGGTTTGTTCAAGCAATTTTAAATAGCCTGTATTTTTAAGCGTATTTAATGCATTTGTGTATGATACAAGCGATGAAATACAATTTATGATAGCGCACCGTCTTTCGGCCCATACATTATGGCCCGTGTGCACGTTAAAGAATGCAGTACACTATTCGGAAAAGAGAAGGGGATTGTCTCTCGATGTACTGTCCAATCACCACCAGAAGGACTAGAAATAAGTCTGCTTTCGTGGGATATCCTTGGTGTTGTCACCGAGCACAACGAAAATAAAAATGTAGTGGTTGAAACGGGGACTATAAAACTAAACCATTATGCGAGTATCGGTTTGTTGTACGATGTGAGTATCTGACGGTTTAATTCCAATTTAACAGACCGTCCTGTATTTTAAGACTGTGGGCTAATGCTAAGACACCCTTCTCCATATAACAGGTTAAAACTAGTAAACGATCCTGTCGGGCGTTATTGAATGTTCGGTATATAACACGTACAGTAAAATTGCCTAATACTGTACTCATAGGCCTATATACCGTACGTAATATGTTGACCTAACCACACACTAAAGTGTATTCCAACAAATATTTGGACTATACTCCCAGATAATTAATTTTACGTATCTGAGTATTCATTATTTTAAACAGTATTATAT